TTTGGAGGAATTTTCGTAAAGAGTCAACAACTTATGTATAGTTTAAATAACTTAGACTAAAAATGCCATCCAAGCATATGTTATGAAGCAAATCGAGATAAAAGCTTTCCTCTAATAACAGTAATTTTGTACTGTTTACCAACCATTTATTTTAAATTTAATCATTCCACACACAAAATAAGAAATCCACGAAATTACACGAAGAATAATGTATTAATGTAATTGCGAGTGAATTTTGCACAAGCTGAGCACTGGCAATTTGAAATGATAAATGCGAACTGGACATGCAATGATTACAGTGAAGCCAACAACAGTAATAAATAGTTCGCGAGAGAGGAAGAGATGATGCAGAAAGATAGCTATTACAGTGTGAGTTGTCTTAGGCCTATATATGAGATGAATAAATGTACGACTTTTTCGAATAATATTTTAAACCTAATGTAAGGGACACAGGGAGTCCAAAATTTGTTTAGAAAAGTAAACTGAAAAAAAACTCGTGTGGACACAAGTCATTTTATTATCTACTTATTGTATTAAACAACGCGGCTTCTAGTGGCGCCATCTGTCTGAAATTGTTATCCCTCAATTGTGTATTCTTCAGTGTTGTCGTATAAAATTTATATAACAGCTGACGTGTATAACAGCTGAGATATCGCGCTACATGTGACATTACATTTGTAGTGTCGGTCGGAAAATGAGCATCGAACAAAGAGCCAACATTAAGTTTTGTTTTAAACTTGGTAAAACTTTTATCAAAACTCATCAAATGATGAAAAAAATTTATGGCGATGATTGTCTATCCCGTAGCCGTATTCACGAGTGGATTAAACGTTTTCAAGAGGGACGGGAGGACTTGGAAGACGACGAACGTTCGGGCCGGCCAAAAGATGTTGTGAACGAAAAAAACACGGAAATTGTGCGTAAATTCATTAAATAAGAGCCCAAATCATCGCTTAAAAATATGGAATCGGAATTATCAATATCCGCAGCGTCGATTTATCGTATTTTGACAGAAAATTTGGGCCTCAGAAAGGTTTGTGCTCGATTTGTCCCGCACACTTTGAAACAACACGAAAAATACTTTAGAATTCAACATTCAATTTGACCAAAAATCGCATTCATATCATCAACCATTCACCCTATTCGCCTGATATGGCCCCTTGCGATTTTTATTTGTTCGGAAAACTACATTTGGCCATGAAAGGAAACCGCTATGCTGACGTTGATGCCATTCAAAAGGCGACGACCGCCATCCTCAACGCTATACCGACAGATGACCTAAAAAAGTCATTCGATAACCTTCTTGAACGTGCAAAACATTGTGTTCAGGCGGAAGGAGACTATTTTGAAGGCGACCAATAAATTTTTCAAAAAAAAAAAAATAATAATATTCGTTTTTTAATAAAAGTCCTGAAACTTTTGAATTGCACCTTGTAGTATGTCCTAAGTCATAAATGGAACAATATAATCTTTTTGACTATTTTCAATTGCTATAGCCACTTGCTTATTGTTTAGCTTCTTTTCAATGGTCTCTAAAATATTAACGGAAAGTATATGCTAAAGTTAACATATAAATTCTCTGCCTGAGGAAATGACTTAAATCTTCTTGAACCATTAAATTGTGTATAGGGCTTATATACAGTTAGAATGCCGAAAAAAGTGAATTTTCCAAAAACATTTTCTGAGAAAACTTTAAAATTTATTGATCCAAAAATGTATACACGTATTACGGTATCTTTTTACTATATTTTAAGACTTAGTACTAGTAAAAATATTTATTTGAAAAAGAGCTACAGCTGATCTCCGGGAGCTCCTCTCAAATAAAACGTTTTGCGGTAACCACTATATCTCTGAACTGCATAATCTTAAATTAAAAATCCAAATAGATTTCGTTAAAGTAATGTTAAATCTAGTAATTAATCGATGTCTCTAGTTAACTAAGTATTTTGGCCAGATGCCGTTTTTAGTGACTGTTGTTCACCCAGTTTCCAGCCTTGGTGGAACTTTTGGCTATACTCGAATTTTGAATTTATTATTCTATGAAGTAGTAGTATTACAGCAAAAACAACAAATATTGTCCTATTATGAATATAAACAAATATATGTTGCTTACAAATATATTATATCGTAATGATACTACTGTACTTGTATTAGAGACTTAAATACAGTATTCTGATAACAATATATTATATTTATACGTAAATAGATTGACTGCTTAGGCAAATATTTGCGAAATAAATATTTTGTGTGCTTATGTACTGCCGTTACTTAAAATAAGCGGTAATCAAACGCGCATACCTAGTTACACACACATATGTACGCATGTGTATAGGTGAGTGCGCCTAAAAGCTGCCAAGAAATTGCCTTGGGAAGACAAGTACACACTCAACATGGCGTATACGCGACATGACAGTTTTATGGAGCTGGTCAAACGCAACGTTAAATGGCCTGTCTACCGAAAAAACAAAACAAAAACAATAGAAAAAGGCGATGTAACGAGACAGTCAACAAATAACAAGAGACTGAGGAAAAAGCAAGCCACAAAAATATCAAGTAAAATGCAAACAATGTTCACTGGAGGAAAGAAGAAAAAAAAAAGATACACAACAACACAAGATAAACCACTGAAAGGCCTTCAGGCATAACACAAAAAGCGCTTTGTGGCTGTGAGTGGCATAAACACTGAAAACCGACAAATATCAAAAGAAGAAAACACAAACGTAAAAGCAGAGTACCAAACGAAAGGTGAACGAAGCGATGGCGCTTGGTTGACGGTGAGGAGCATGCAGCTTTACACTTTCATTCATACGATTTGATGTTGAACGGCGGCAAAACGGAAGTAGGAAATGCATTAAAAGGCAATGAGGCGCTTTCTACATGCCATTGAGCGAGGCAAAATGAAAAAACAAAAGACAAAAAAAAAAAAAAATAAATAAAAAAAAGTAAAGAACAAGAAAAAAATAAAATAAATGTAAAAAGTACGAATGCGGTTTTTTCCGCTTTTGTGTTTATGTTTCATTTCTTACATTTGCGCTCACAAGCGCGGTCACTACGGGGTACGAATTGCACATTGCTGTTTGTGGTTTTTCCTTTGCGTTTTCCATTTGAGTTTTCCTTCTTTTTTTGTGTGAACGCTTAACAGCTGGGTTGGAATACTTTTCGTAATTACCTAAGTTCTACTGTGAGTTGGACAGCCTTCTACCATTCAAGATTTTCTTTGCTTTGCACTTTCCTTCATCCTTGCTTTGTTGGGATTATTTATTTATTTTTTATATTTTATTTTTGCTTTCAACAGCTTATCTTCGTATACTTGTGTGTAATCCAACATGCTTCGCGCACACACAGACAAACTCTTATTTATGTATGTGTATATATGCGCATGTTTAAATAGGACACGAAGCTCAGTGGCCGAGCACATTTATTCCCTGACTTGGCCAACATCGTAACATCGTGGGTTAAATGCCATGTAGGAAAATTAGAGTGGATTGTGTAGCTTATATTTAAAGTGGTAAAATGTGTTTATGGATATTTAATTCAATTACTTGATTTTTGTGAAGTTTTTGAACTAGTTAATTTGTTTCGATTGTTTTAGGGAAAAAGTACGCTCTTATATTAGTCAAGACTCAAGTCCAAGTCCTTGTGGAATTTTCTCAAACTTCGATTGTGTTTTTAAATCACTCAGAGATTCTGAATTTGTTTTTAAGAGAAAAGGGAGCGTCACTTTATTGCTTTCAGGTGAGTATTTCTTTGAGGGAATATCATGCTACTAAGAAATCAACTTTCCAGACTTTCAGTTTTGGTATTATCCATTAGTCTTTTAAATACATCGGCTGCATAGCTCTTGATAAGCGAAATAAAAAATCCTAATTACCCTCTTCCTAAGCGATGACCTATCTTTAAGTCTACGTCGTCAGCTTAAGGCATTAAAACGGAAAATTTATTTAAAGTCCTACACTCGACCTCTCTTTTTTGAGATGACAGAAAATTCCTTGGTGCGATGCTTAACCCTATAAGAAAAAGGATTACAGATTTGTTAGACTTTATTGCTACCTTTTTCCTTAGGGACCTACAAACTTCATGAATACCAAAAATGCGCGGCTGAGTACAGACTATATGGTTAGTTGACGAGTTGAGTCGATTTAACCTTATCCGTCTATGCGTCTGTCTATCTGTGCGTACTAGTCTTTCGATTTTTGAGATATACATGTGAAGTTTTGTACTCGACTTTTTCTCCCTAAGAAACTGCCCATTGCTTGGAATGGCCGATATCAACTTACTATAGCGTATAGTTGCCATACAAACTGACCGATCAAAAACTGGATACGTTTTTTCTGGGTTTTTTCTTTGAACCATGATTGATCATCTTATACCTTTAAGAATCAATTTGTCTGTAATTTCGCACAAAGCACAAAGCTCTAAAGAGGGAAATTTTGAGATCCCTTATTACATTAATATTTTCCAATAACTTCTTGATTTTTTATCAAGCTTCTTCTCGTATTTCTGGTGCACGTACTCATTTCATGCAAAAATTATCAAAGGTTTCTATGCTTCACAACTTTTTAACTTCAATCAGGTTTGTAGCTATATATTTCAACCGAAATCGTTCACAATAATCACTTAAATTTTTGGCTAAAATATCACCGCTGTGCTTGTACAAGAATTATGTGTTCGCGCTTCATGCGTGCTTCGTAGCATACACAACTGTAAGTACGCGCCAGCAGGTTCGTGTGTGTGTTTGTGAATATGTATGTGTTCGCGCCTCAGTACACCCGAACTTGGCATAGCATTTTCAATGTACAATACTTAACTTTTCTCTCCTTATACCTACACAAATTTTCCCTACTTGCCACATACATACACATTTTCGTTCACATCGAACGCTTTAAATTTTTAAATGGGTGGTATTCCCACAATCCCTGAGGTCTTGAACGCATTTCAAATTTAATTACATATTATACTTATGAAAATTGGATGGTATGCATATGTAATTGAAGGCATACCTCTTTTCTTGGCGCTGTGGTTTAAAGTGCCCGCAACATTTTCACCAACAAAATTATGCAATTTCTTTTTAATTGAATTACTTATGGATTAAATGCACTTTACAGCGAGTAATTTGACATGCATATATATTTTATTTTATTTTATTTTAATCTTCTTTACCACATTCACGCCCCCTTTTGCCCCGCACACACGCCTTCACTTTGGCGGAGCACTTTTCTGCACTTGATTACACTCGGAATTTGTGGTCATAATTTCCATTTTTCCACAGCCACATTCCGATGCATACGCAGGGACGCACACAAAATTAACGGCACCGCGTTGAGCACTTTTCCAGCGCACCACCACCACAATTCAAAACCTCTATAGGCGAGTAACAATAAGCTGCTGCACAAATAATATTTAGATCTTTAAAAATTTATTTAATTTGTTCACTTTTTTCTTCCTGCTTTATCTTTTTGTATTTTTATTGCCACAACTGCCAGCGAAGTACCGTTGCCGCGTCGCGTTTCTATCTGGGGAGCTCCGTTTTGACTGAATTGACCATTCGTTTCGTGTCGTTGGCAGACTTTCTCAAGACAATTGCGCTTGCTGTCGGCTTTGTGGGTGGCGGGTGGAAAGCTCAAAAGCTTCTCTTCACCCCCTTTGGTGGTGTGTTTTCTCGTGTGCCTCTTTTTAACTTTACATCCTCGGCTTTCGGCAGCTGTTTACGTCTGCTCACTGCAATTTGGCGCCAAAAATGCTTCCCTACTTTGCTAAGGGCCCTCCGGCGGTTTGTTTATGTTTGGCTATTACAGCGACACTTGTTGTTGTTACATGTTGGTGAAAACAAAAATTTTTGGTGCATGCGCACGGTTGCTTTCGCCGATATTATTGGTGTTTGTCTCGGTGTCAATGCACTCGTTTGCGTGTCATTTCGTCATCCTTTCATCAAGCGCTGCTAACTTTTATCTGTTTGTTGTTGTTATTTGTTTGTGTGGTATTTTTAAAAATAACAACTAATTTTAAATCGCATGTATAATAAAGAATCATGATGCTAATGAAATATAGAAGTGCGAACCTATAAATGAAGCGTTTTCCAGCACTACACTTTAAATCGCCAGGAGAAAAATCGTGTTATTTATATATGTGCTGAAGTCCGCTGAGCAAATAGTTAAGAAAGTTCCAAATCGATGAAAGTCTCTCACTTAGAATTTGTGGTTTGCTAAATAAATTAGAATCTTATGTGGCCATTACGCACAAAAAGTCGCTGCCTAATAACCGCTCGATCTCGGCCCCGTTTAGGTAATACTCGGATTGACTTTCAGCTTGAACGATATTGCCACCACTATGCGTTTTCGTGGAAGCTCCTTCGAATTACTATAATGAAAGATGATAGGCTCTGAATCTCCTAGAAAATAGCGATTTTTAAGCATCAATTGCCAAGTTGGAATGCAAGAAAACATAGCATTGCCTCTGCAGTCACGTTACATTTAAAACGATATTTGATGAATCATGTTTAACAACGAGCTTCATTAGAATTTTTGAATAATACAACAACATTATGCGCCCCTTATTTACTTTACACATACTATCTGATCAAGTTTGACCAGAACATTTCTATTAAAACGGCGCGCGTAAGCTAAATGGTTAATGTTTTGGGTATGAAGCGTGTCAATGCTGGATTAATTCGTGCCAAAAGATCTGAATTTTTTGCAACAACCTCGTGGAATAGAGGTTGCAAAAGAGATGATTAAGAACGTTGTTGAGGACCCTATATTTATTAAATGCATTTATACTGGTGACGAGGTATCGGTTTATGAATATGACAGCACAACTGTCTAGCGAATTGCGCTCCAAGAATGAGTCGAAACCGAAGAAACCAAGAATCGCTAAAGGCACTAAAGACCTGAGACAACCTAAGGGGATGCGGCTTATTAAAAGTATTTGTAAATTGTATTAGGCATTGACACGTTGTATTGGCACCAAAGGAGTCTAATATAATAAAGATTTGATTTAAAATACTTGAAAGTGTAGCAAAGCACTCGCTTGTCTCTTTGTATGGGATTACGCACAAAGTTGTTGTATTAAATATACTATAGACTTCTTGAAGGCATCCGATTCCTCTCCTAAACGCATTTTCCTTTGCACTCGGACAGATCTCGGCTATTATTGTGCTACATTATTTGCTTTTGAGTCACTTATTTTTTTGAAAATAGCCATATATTATTCATTTCAACTTGACTTCTTTCCGAGTTCATTCGATTTTCGGATTCTACAATCCGAGAGTGTTGGTCAGGCATGGCCTTTAATATGTATGGTATTTTGTACTTTGCGTTTTTGTGACATAAAGTGATGCCATTCTACTAGTACAAGTAGAGCAGAAGCGAGAAAGTCAATAGTTTATAATAACTATCTTTAAGGTCTTCGGACCATCAATACAAACAATATTCCTTTTAGTTTAGTTATTATCATTTTTATTATTTAAACTTTAAAACTAAAAAAGAAGCGATTTTTCGAGAAAAAAGACGTCTGTAACAATTGTTTTACAATTCTTAGAGTAAAGAAAAAATATTTTCCGAGTTACACGCTGCAAAGATACCGGCCTTCTCCGTGGATAAAACCCAAAAACAAATTTCATTACATTGAATTACAACTTGAGAAAAAACGGTATAAAAAAACATCAAAATAAAAGACCTATTTATATATAATATAAAGAAACTATTCAAAGTTTGTTGTTAAAGATCGGATAATTTAGCTCCTAGTAATCATTTAACCAAATTATAAAATTATGTTTCGAGAAAAACGCTTTTAAAGATAAACGGATTAAGTTGATTGAACTTCTTTCATTTTAAAAGGCTGTAACTCAAAAACTATTACAGGTATCATTTAAAAATTTGCTTATGTTATTTGACCTATCTAAATAAGTAAATCTTTTTTTTTATGTTACTTTTATAATATAATACATTTTCTTTCATAAACCTCTTTAGACATAAAAAGCATTATTATGACTAACCTAATTAGTGAATAACTTTAAAAGTAAATTTAAAATAAATTTTAAAAATAAATCCATTGACCACATAAGAATACAAAGCGCAGAGCAATAAATGTTGAAAAGTATGAAAGAGAATTAGGTTGCCGCAAATACCTACCATATTTACCAACAATATATGTTATATGTAAATATGTATGCAAATGTAAATAGTCGTCCGCGAAATGAATATAAAAATGTAAAAATAAAATTTGTATGCTAAAAATAAACGAAAACAAAAGTCAAATCAAAGGGCATTTATGTGCCTTTAAAGTTCGTCAGCCAAACGCCAAGCTGTCACCAGCGACACCTCCAAGCCCCACTTTGATTTAAAACGGTCATTAACTCGGCCGGCGACCAGCTGTTTGTTTATGCCGCAAAAAATTATGCAAATGACAATTTGTTGTAGATAAAATCGCTTACTTTTTCATTAATGCACACAAACACAAACAAATAGATGCGCCAAACTTTCCTTGTTACGCTGGTATTCATATTCAAATTTCTTTGGAGAAAATAAAGTGGCTCGGCAAAAGGTGGGACAGGCAAACATATATGCGTTACGGCTACGCTTCTGCGGCTCTGCAACGGTATATTATAATAAAATTGCAATCATTTTGTCTTCAATGGTTCCTCAGCTTCACAGATTATTTTTTAGTAAGTAGTTCGAGTTTTCGATAGTTTTACGGTTAATGAGCAAATTTCTGCAAATAATGAAATCAGTTTTTTGGAATTCCTCAAAGAGTTTGCAATAGAAAAACGTTAAAGCGGACAGTTGTAACTAGTGAAAATGTTTTTGAGACAATTGGTGTGTAAATAATAAGGAATATAATTTATATTTGAAACATGTAAACATATCATAGTTATAAAGATAAAATGCTCCTGTGTTATTTTGCGAGGCCCAACCAAGTCATAATTGCGCTCTAGAAGCTACGACTGTTTAAGTCCTTGCAAAGCGACGCTTCATATATCCAACATACCTTCGTTTCTTGAGAAACGTCTCTGAAGCGGTTTATTTCCTGAGCCCATAAAATCAATATTTGTCAGCTGGTCTTAAACGAGCCTTTACACAATATTTCTTTAAATATTTTCAGTTATGGCTCGTGGTAATTGGGGTGTGTCTCAATTTGGGAACAGCAAAAGTACTAAAGGAGACAATGAAGAAACGAAATGTTGGGTAAAATTTACTTAAACATATACTTACTACACATAATAACTGTCCCAATTATCACTTTTAGCAGTGCATCGAAGCAGCATCTTATAGGCACTGCCTTTGACTATGACTATTTTGCGCCAAAGGAACGGAGAGTTGCGCATCGTCATCAAAACTCCAATCCAACCACAACTCAGCGCCCATTTATACGCTATTGGAATAATTTCATACGTAATATACGCGTACCTGTACCCACGATCAGTTGGAATATGACTAATCCGTTGGTGAATCTCTTCAACGCTGGCTATACGAATGTCATCGACACGCCTGTGGCTAACTCCAATCATCAAAGCAAGAAGCGTAAGAGGAGCAAAAAAATACGTAAACATTCCGATACGAAGACAAAGCATTCCAAGAAGCAGAAACATACGGATGCTTATGATGACGTTGATGAGACTTATCACACAGTCAGTTATAATGGTTACGCAACGCCCTACACACTCGACTTCGATCCACACAAGGTTATTTACTACTACGACCCGAGCACTGGTCAATATTTTAAAATGCAGACGCCATATGTAAACAGTTACACACAGCCTGAACTGCAACAACAGCAATCGGATGATTCCGACGAGGAACCAGAAGAGCTAATAGATGAGTCAGTAGAGCAAGAGGAAACAGAAACGGCACAAATCGAGCCACCAACGATGGAAGCAGCTGCGGAAATCAGTGAAACCGAAAATGAAGAGATACCACAAGCAGTCGAAGAAGAAGCTCTTAGCGATGTTGAAGAAGTTTCCGGTGAAGTGGAGCTTATACCAGCGGATATGGAAAATTTCGACGACTCCGAAGAAGTGCAAACGCCAGTAAAACAATTGATGGAAGCAACTAAAATGAGCAAACCAAAAAATATTAAAAGTGTCGAAGAATTGCGTAATGCGATTAACGCTTACATGTTGGATGATCGTTTCAATAAAATGCGACAGCAAGCGAATACAGCGCAGAGGTACAAAATGTTGCGCAATAGAGTGAAACCGCACCCAAAGCAAACATTTACTCACTACAGGTTGCAACAAATTTAGCGATGCATATATTGAATTAAATTAAACTGACTACTTTTACTTAAATTTTAAAAATTGAAATTACTAAAACAAAAAGCTATCTTATACTTCTTAAAAGGGAAATTACTTTAATTATTTTTATACACATAAATCGGTAAATTAGCTAAAATTTAAATAAATTATAAAATGTACACTAATCTAGCAGCTAAGGCGTATCCACGGGCAGTTCTACATGTTTCACGTGTTCAACATCGTCGAAGTAGGGATGGATCATTGCATTTTTCGCCGATATTCGTTCATTTGGCTCGTAAAGCATCATATTCTGCGTAGAAAAAAATATGTTAGTTAGTTAATTAAAGGAAATAAAATAGCTGCAACTGAAATACCTTAAATAGATTAAAAGCTTCGTGCTTCACAAGCACTTCAGGTATATTCGTTTTCTCCCAACGTGGAAAATTGGCTTTGTAATCGGGTAATTGTGTAACACCTGGCCATACATTTTCATCCGGTGTGCCTAATGTGCGGAATATGCGATATAACTGATCAATTTCACTATCGCCGGGAAAAAGCGAACGCTTCATTATCTGCAAGTGAGTGGGACATTTTGTTTTTTAATTATTACTTACTCTTTATAAGCTATACTCTAAAGTAGTTTACTAACCATTTCCGCAAATATGCAACCCAAACTCCAAATATCCATGCCTGTTGCATAGTATTTCGTGCCTAAGAGTATTTCTGGTGCGCGATACCACAGCGTTACCACCTCGTGCGTATAAGCGCGCATTGGCATATTGAAGGCACGCGCCAAACCGAAATCTGCCAACTGGAATGCATACATATATATAAATATTAAAGCTATTTTTAAGATTTTTAAGTAATACCTTAATGTGGCCCTCAGTGTCGACCAAAAGATTCTGTGGTTTGAGATCACGATGTAATATACGGTTTGTGTGACAAAAGCATATAGCATCCAGAAGCTGATGCATGTAACTCTAAATGAAACAAATAAGTAAGGAAAATTAAATTAAATTAGTAATTGCAGAACTGAGAATATAATAAGAAAAAACGTTAACGTCGGTTGCGCCGAAGCTATATTACCCTTCACAAATATAAAAAATTTCGTATGGCAGCTATATTCTGGTCCCATATCGGCGGTTCCGACAAATAACAGCTTTTGAGGGAAAAAAAGATGTGTGCAAAATTTCAGATCGATTGATATGTCAAAAACTGAGAGACTAGTCGCGTATATACAGACAGACATATTTAAACCGACTCAGCTTGTCAGGCTGATCTTTTATATATATATATATATATATATATTATAGGGTCCGTGGTGTCTTTCTGGGTGTCACTTTTACACCCTGTTCAGAGTAAAAAACTTAAACTATTTCAAATAGAAATGAAAACTTGAGGCTAAGCTATAAGTAAATGACAAAGAAGCCGTGGTCTATCAGTGGTGGATAAAAAGATAATATTCAAAAATAAATTGTTCCTATTGTGTTTTATTTCATATAATACCGCCAATATCCCAACATAACTCGCATTTAACAATTAAATTTCAAAATTTTGAAGTAAACACTTATTTTACTTAGTAAATACAAACACCTTGACAAGCTTAGGCGTGAACACATCCTTCTTTTTGTCCATTAATTTCTTCATGTCCATATTGAGATATTCAAATACCATGTACAAGCTGGAATCCGCCACCACTATATCGTAGAGTTGTACGATACTATTGTGGGTCAAGTCCTTAAGCAGCGAAATCTCACGTATTGCCGTTGATGGAACGCCTTCAGTTTCACTATAAATTAATTACAAATGTATTTATTTACTATGGCTTCATGAAGCTATTAATTTCTGCATTACTTAATAGTTGTCCATTCATCATGTTACAGTGAGTGCATAAAAAAGAAAGGCGCACATTTTTAGTTTAATCAATAAAGTGTAAATAATTAAATTAAGTACACACATAGACGTTGCACTCTGCTGAACCCGACAAAGCCGAATCATGTGGTGCTACGTGTACTATTTGATGAAAGCGCAGCATCCACATGATACGGGCTTTGTATGGCTGCTTCATTCAAAACAACAAACTTGTTTGGCTTCAACTAAAATAAACACATCAGTCACCGACATACACCAGTTTGTAATGCTTATGCTTATTTATCAACACTTTCATGTCAACGCAATGGGCATTCGATTGCCCAAGGCAAATGACATTCATCAAGGACAACGCACCTGCTACCAACATACGCCGCGCTACTACGTTATTCTCAATGTGCATATGTGTTTGTGTCTTGTCTCTACACCTACGCCAAGGATATAGACGTACAAACGTAAAACAGCGGCGTTGTTGGCAGCGCGCAAATTACTCCATGCTAAATATAAATAATAAACTTGCTCGCCTAATTGGTATATTGGTTGACTCACCTATCTAAACGGATCTTTTTTAGCGCCACATCCCGGCCTGTTTTCTTATCCTTTGCTTTGTAAACGATGCCATAAGTACCTTCACCAATTTTTTGCATTTTCTTAAAGTCGCCTACCTCAAGCATTCTGCCGGCCGTCACTACTTTAACACAAGCCTCAAAAGCAATAACATTTATTAGATATGCTAACGATTTTTATTTATCTTCACACAGTGTCAACGATTTATAAGAAATAATATAAGCTACAATAATAAACTGCTTAGCGTCAAGCGAAAATGCACAAAACGAAAATAAGAAATTGACAGTGGTAAACGCGCCGCAAAAGCGCGCGGCTCTCTCAACAGATTTTACGCTAGATGGCGCGGCGTGAGTCGCGTTGCCAAATACATAGCACTCTAATTGCTCTGCTATATTTTATTAAGTTGAACGGTTTTATTATGTTTCATGAAGAACTCGCAATAATTATTGAAACTTTTTTTATTATATTTATTTTAAGTCATTGCAACTTGTTTTTGCTTGGAAATACTTTTAAAACCTATTTAACTTCACTAATATTTCTTGAAATTCTATAATTAGTAAGTCTGGTAATGCAAGTAAATGATACGATCTGGCAAACAGGGAGTAGCGGTTGTTAGCGTTGTGCGCGGAAACTGTAAATTTTGCAAAAGTTTAAGAAAGTAAATTTATTATTAAGTGTAGTGTAATATTACGTGTTTTTTAAGTGCTTAGTGTTTATTATGTATTTTATGTGTTGTTTAGATTACGTGTGCGTTAGTCTTACTGAGTCAAAGTGTTTATTAAAAAAATGTCTGCCAATTCAAATCTTGTTAGAAAGGAATTCCGGCGGATGGTGGCGTCAGAAAAAGTGAGGTTAGTATTCTTATACGAAAATTATCTATAATTATTTGAATCTATTTGTTCAAATCTGAAATTTGTTGTCGAGGAATTAAAGCAAGCCGCAATTTTTAAGCTATGAGAAAATTTTTGTTGCAAATGAGCAAACTATTTAATTTGGTAGTGGAAGCGAAAATAATGAGTCTTCGATGCGTTTACTCTTACGCACTTGCATATGTATTGGTACATTTACAGCAAATTAGCTTTCGCATATGTTGATAAGTAAGTGCTTACGCTAGTGACTTGCAGAACATATTTTGCTTAAAAATCGGTTAATGTTATAAGTATGCGTACATATTAATGTGTGCAGTAATAATCTTAATAGAATCGCCTTCTACGAGATAAAAAATATTTGAATAAAATATTTATAAAATCTTTAAAATATAAAAAACATTATTTTTTATATATTATATTTTATATTCGTATTACATTAACGTATTCATGTTTTTTATTAATTATTTTATAAGATTTTACATGCCAAAAGTTATTTTAGGTGATATTGAAAAGTAAAGTGAAAATATGAATTGCGTGTTTGAATGGAGCAGTGTAATCTATTGCAATTACAAGTACATTAGTACATATGTTAGTACTATGTCTACAAAATTTTGTATTTTGTATTAACTTTTTTTATTCCATATTATTTCCTAATTAAACTGCATAGGTAACTAGTGTTGCAACTTCTCCTAATATAAGAGCATATGTATGCATATTGGAATTGCTACCGATTATAAGTTATTTGACCCACGGCGAATTGCTGCTTTGCCTTGAGCGCATTTTAGCAAAGACACAAACCATTAAGCAAAGTCAATCCAAATATGCTGTGATCTGAAAATTGTTTGATTTTTTAGGTATTTGTGATTATTTTCTTAAATTTATTCTCTTTTACTCTTGTTTGAAGCTCTTCTGCAAAACTTTTAAATTATATATCACTTTTATTCATATTTTTATACGCTTGCAATAATGTTATAATAGTTTTGTTTATCAAACGGTTGTTTGTATCACCTCAAACTAATCGAGATAGATATAAAGTTATGTATATATAATTGATCAGGATGAAGAGACGAGTTGAAATCCGTTTGACTGTCTGTCCGTCTGTCCGTAAGTGCAAGCTGAGATTTGTGTAAAAATTGAGATATCTTAATGAAATTTGGTACACATGTTTCTTGGTACCGTGAGACGGTTGGTATTGTAGATGAGCGTAATCGAATCACTGTCACGCCTATAAAACGTCATTCATCGAAAACCAATAAATTGCCATAACTAAGTTTCATAACACGATACAAGACTGCTATTTGATACAATGAATCGCATTAAAAAGGGGTATCTTCAGTCTAAAAAAAAGTGTTCATAAACCCGCTATATAATAGATTTAATGTGCATAACTCTTAAACCACTAAAGCTATAACAACCAAATTCACTAGAGACAAATCTTTTATCCGTCGAACTATTTAATAACTAGTATATTCCAAACATGATTTGGAAAGCAATTTGTTTTTGTGCGTCTTTTTCAGTATATGTCATTCATTTGAAGCGTAAACAACAATAATTTTTTCACATAAATTTGCTGTTTGTGTTCATTATTTTAATATGAAGAACACCTCAGCCGCAGAGCATAATTTAATGGAAGTTTATAGTAAATATGTTCTAGCTGAGTGAACGTGCTAAAAGTGATTTGCCTGATTTAAAAAATGTCATTTTGGCTTTGAAGACGGCGGCCAAAAAGGTTTGAAAATGGGAAACTGAAAGCATTACTCCACGGAGATTGTTGCCGATTACGAGAAGGGCTTGCAGCTAACTCAAGCAGGTATTTTAAAATGTTTAAGTGCAACTGGATAAATGCTTGGATGCAAAAGCAAGGAAATTCGATGCCATATAAATTGACATCAACGATAAAGCTGAACATCCACGGCGCCAAGTAAAGGCTACTCACTAACATTTATTCAGTTCGATGCAGAAAGCCTTACTGGAATACGGTTAATTTTAGAACAGGGTATCAAAACTTGACTTGATTCGTTTTTCTTCGTTAAGCCGGCGCAGTTCTTTTTGGAAATTGCCAGAAAGATGGGAATATTTTATAGCCTTAGATGGGCAATAATTTGAATAATGAGTATTAAATTTTCACACAATGATCCGTTACGTCCGCTTTCTACGCCACTCCTTTAAAAAAAAAACACATCCATAATCGTCTAGGTTATTGGCGAACCTATTGAGTTTATTGCTCAACCAATTTAGCTACTACAAAGCTATGTAAGAACTTCATTCAGTAACTTCAGTGCATTATTTTCATTTTCTAGCGACAACTATAAAGTTAAAAAATAACTACAACCAATTTTATTTCGCCTCCATATTAACGTCAAGAACCACTGATACAAGTTTAGTGTCACTGCTGCGCAAACAAACCAACCAAGACGATATAAACTACAGTTGGAAAAAATGTTGCCATTGCAATGCTCGACAACTTCTGACTTTTCGACTTGAACAAGTGGAAAAACTGAATGAAGCGAAACGTTATCAAAGCAGCGGCAGCAGCAACAGCAGCAGAAGTAGTTGTAGCAGCAGTCTAACTAGCTGAAACAGCAATCTGACCGAAAGTATCTCCGTTCGGCCAAATGTGGCAGATCAAAGTTGTATTATGCCACACTCCACTTGCAGAAAGTGCAAAAGTCACCTCGAACGAGCAACACAGTCGCACAACAACAAAGCAACAACCGACAACGCACACACACACGCCTGCATTGCACTTGTGAAAGCCTTTTTTTGCGCACAGACAAAGTCAATGTTGGCTTACAATGTGAAAAAGAAGTATAAATGCAAAAAAAAAATAAATAAAAAAAAATAACGGTAAACTAACTTTGTGCAACAAAATACGGCAGCGTACGCTGAGACGCAAGATAATAGCAAACACATAAATCTCGGTTGCTCCCGAGCAAACAAACGAAAAAACGCCAACAAAAACTATTGATAAAATAAACTGAAGAAAAAGTAGTAAATATATATAAAAAAAAAACAAAAAAAAGTTCCGTAACCAAAGTAGTACTATGGTTCACTACTTCATACATCCTTGTTATCGCCAAGAAAGCCTTATTGTTATTGTTGTTTGTTGTATGCACCAAAAACGCTTCCAATGACGAATCAAATGCGAGCGACCACTTTGGCAACATTATGCGGCAGCCGGCAGTCACTTGGCCACCGGAGCAATGCCACCGGAGTGGCCAATATCAACGTCTTTTTGTGTGAAATTCACAAAAGTGGCATATTCTCTACTGCTACTCCTTGACTTTTCTTTGCCACTTTGGACACTGTTGCAAATGGCGAGTTGAACGGTCAAAGTGAGTGGCAAAGGGACTTGTAAAATATACATAAATATGAGTGCAGTGTGTAGATATGAGTATGCCAATCATAATCTTCCACTCACATACACATATGGTGTAGCTGTAGTTGAGTGTGTCTATACGCATATTTGTATGTGTGCGGGAGTGTGTAGTCAAATTTATATCTGACGCATTTGCATTGGACTTGTGCGTTTATTTGCCACTTCTTTTGCTGCTTATTCTTAAGCAGTCAACCAAAGTTGAAGTTTCTTAGTCGCTTGAGAGAGGCGCTACTTTAGGAATAAGTGGAGCAAACAGTGAAATGAACATATTTTACTTCAGTTTTTATGTAGCATTTACTAAGTACCACTGACGACTTTAAAATAACTCCAATTTTGTATAAAAATGTTAAATTTTCTGCTCTCACTTATACCCTCCTTATCACTGAAAGACTTTCAGATGATGTTCTTCATGTTTAAAAGAAAGTGAAGATTAGATGATGTTTTTTACGATTTAATGCCCTCAGCTCCTGTGAATACCCTTTATATGACAGATTATACCCTTTAAAATATTATTTTTAAATCGGTATCTGAAATTGTTTTTGAGTTACAGCCTCTAAAGTGTAACCGTTTTTTTTAAAGCTACGACGGAGATGGCCAGAATCACTGCAGTAATGGAGGGCCCTTTTTATAGCTCCGATTGTAATCGCATGTAACTCGAAAAATATTTAATTTTGTTGGCAGACTGTTTGTGCCCTTAAAGATCTTTTAAGATCTAGTTATATTAAAGGTTTGCTAATGGGGTTCTAGTGAACTTTTTTACTTCGAAAATATACGGAAATCCGTTACAATGACTACGTTTATGAAAAACTTTTGTTTGAACTCAAGAGCCACTAGGTAATAGCCATACACTTAATCAACTTATATGCAAAAAATATTTGTCATTAGACATAACCTTACTAATGGATCTTCACTTAGTGACTTAGTGGTGTCCTACTTTTTTCATACCGAGCTTTTCTTTGTAAAAGAAATTGTAAGTAATCTATTTGCGGAATACATTGACGGTAAATGTGAAATATTTAGACCATTCGTATCCAGTTAAATTACTTTGATTAGTACAGATTTAGAGTACGTTCCAAAAGTTCATAAATTTAATCACAATAACTGCCGCATAAGCATCAATTATGAACTGTTGAATGACTGAAAGCCTTGTAATCGCGTGCGAAATGTTGATACGTGATAATGGCATTTAAACCAAATAATTATACTCCCCAAAAAGACTCAAAACTGAAGAAATAGAGTTTGTTCACTTTTTTATTTGATTACTGTAAAGTAATGTTTATAAATTCTTTCTTTAAAGTTGTCTGGACAATAAAGATAATCGCACAAAAGCTATTATGAAACTAAACTTGTTTGGGATTGTCAATATACTATTTGTGCTTTTGTATTCCGTTCCGAAAAGTAATACAGATTGCTGGAAGAATTCAAATCAATACCAAATATCTTAACTTCTTCGAAAATGGAATGATGTACAGTTTACGTTTCATTTCAGACTTAGTTTTGTACTAGTAAATAGTTAATTCTTAGTAGTTATGCACAAGAGTTAGGCGATTCGAATCGTTTTCCGTTCGGGTACAAAATAAACCGTTCCATAAGTTCAAGAAAGCAACATACTTGTATATGTTCTAGGTAAAATAAATCCGAAATATGTCTCGCCTATTCCCACTCTTCCGCTAATTGTATTCTATAACAAAACTAAACGACATGTGATTCTAATTGCTACTAGATTTGAGATTCAAAACTCATACCCGTATGACCAAGCCACAACCACTGATATTAAACAATAGCAAAAACAACAATGATTGACATCACACAAAAAGCGGCTGGAACATCAGTCCTACATTTGCAACTTGCGGCAACATTGCAATAAAATTGAATGCGCATAACTTAACCAGCAATGGCGTTGAATGGATGAGAGTGGTAATGCAAGGAGTGTAGAGAGGCTTCTACAGCGCCTTACTTCACAGTTTTTGGGTATGTGCAGCTTAGTGCCTCTACACGAGATGTCAAGTGTAGTAGGATCGTCTACAAGTAAGCTGCGCAGTTGGCCAATTGAAAAACAAAGGAAAGGAGAAGAAATGCTGCCCAAGCAGATTGTGTGCTACAAGCAAAGCAAAATTGTGTAAATGCAACTGCTGGCTTGTAATATGCAAGACCGTGCCAATTTGTAGTTCTGACTGATGAAGGCGGAAGGATAGCCGAGGGCAAAGGAACTGGCATACCATTAGGCGTGAGAATGTTGTAGGAAGATGACTCTTTCCTTTCGAAATGTCGCAAAGTCCAAACCGCTTTAGGGGCCGTTAAGTTTAAAGGAATGAAGTCGGTGAATGCGGTCGTTGAGTGCTAGTTTTAAAGCTGAATATGAATATAGAAAATAAAAGCCATCGATATTTACAAATCGTTCCATTTTTTTGTCTACTTCCTTTAGTTAATATGCTTAGATAAAGTGCTATGACGAGAGACAAACTATCAAACTCGCTCAAATGTAAGATCAAGTCAGAAATGTAAGGGTTCTTAGCACCAGAAATCAACAAAAATTATATATATCATATTTGAGTTTTTTAACGCCGTAATACGTGGAGCTTTAACTTTTAATAACAATTTGTGAACCAAAAAAAAATTTACGTTTTGGCCTCTAATAACATATTAGACTGATGCGTGATAATATTCTAACATCTAATTTCCGAAAAAATTGTTCAGATTACATCACTATAGCATATATCTGTTCTGCAAAATGATCGATCAATAATTGAATATTTTCATTTGTGAAGGGTATTTTAGCTCAAATGCAATGTTTTTTCTTGTTTCCAACATGTTTTCATTCAAAAAACGTTTATTATATAACCACGAGTTAATGACATAATAGCTGAGCCTAAAAACAATAATATTTAATATGCTAAAATATATCCGAGACACACACCAAATAATATATAATTTATCAACCATGAGTTATACCTTTTGAAAATATATTTTCGAATACATGAAACTGGAAATTAGCATTTAGTATTTTACAGTTATTAATTAATGCTGCAGTTCTGGTCTAGGAGTCTTTCAGGGATATATTATATAACTATACGCTCGGTCTGTATTTTTGCTTCAGTTCGAGCTCTCCTTGAGTTCACATTTACATTTTCTTCTAAAACATCCCAATCGCTTTGCTTGAGTCTCAAATCCGAAACTATGTCAGTGCAATAATTTTAAGGACAGCGTCTCAATGTAAGAACCTAGCAATAAATCTTCAGCACTAGGACTTCATGTAGCATACTTTCACTTTCAACTTACTTCACTACCGATATATTTCTCTACATATCTCGGTACTTGTTTAGGTGCATGCAACTTGATAAATACGTGAGCAAGCGGCCGTGTCAGATGTGGTGATTTTTGTGGTGTTGCCTTGTTTTGTTTTTGGCCAGCGTGTAACGGCAGCATGTTTATGTGCCGATGTGCGCATGTATGTCTGCGGCAGGTTAGGTGAATGTTGCGCTTGGGGACTTGTGTCAGCAAATGCAAAATGCCGGTGCACTAGTTTTATTTGTCACTGCTGCATGTGGCAAGAAAATGCCATGTCGGCCGTTGTGTTGCTAGAGCAGTGGCACATACTTGACTGCATATACTTAAATGTGTGCATGTATGTATGCTATATTGTGCAGCAAATGAAGAGCAACCGTGTGCTTTGTGCAAGTGTGCATGTGACAGTTGCACTGGTGGCATGTAAGCACTCGCTGGTGGTGCGAAGCTCTTCGCAGTTTGCAATGCCAAGCTCTTGTGTAAATGTATTTAACGCCGCTGTGGGTATGAAGGCTTCCACATTCACATGCACCCGTATGCATATGTGTATGTGTATAAGTGAATTAATATGTGCCATATTTATGTAACGTTAGCAACATTTGTTGTAGCTAGTCGTGCGAAGCCACTGAGATCCCTGCGCTAAATGTTGAGCAACTCTCTTGGGCACTGGATCGGAGGCAGTAGTAGCAGTACAGCAATGGAAGAGAGTGGCTTGGCTAGAGCGAGAAAAGGTCTTAATGTGCCTCAAAATGAGCTTGTATCGGCTTCGTTGTTATTTATCTTGAAATACTTCTTAAGCTAACTGAAGAACTAAGAAGAAAAGCGTCCATCTTTTGATAGAATGTTTATGATCGCTGCTATGGATGGCTAAAAACTATGGAAACTATGTATTAATCCATAATCTCAAAATATATCAATTAGCTTAACAAAATTATCTAAGTAGTTACTACTTAGTACTAAATAACATTCTAATCGATCGTTTCAATTAATTTGCTTGTTCAGAGTCTGGTAGAAAATTTTCTGCTCCTCAAAAATGGTTTGTACAATTTTTCGATTAAAAAACAACAAAAAAAAACCACAAAATAAAAAAGAGAAAGAAATAAAGAATTTTGATAGAGTAGAAAATTTCCTATAAGACTATGAGCTTTGCAATTTAAAATTTTTTTTAAATTTCAAATTAATTTAACT